CGTTGCAATGGATTTGAACTTTGGACTTTTATTCCGTTCAAATACAAAGCTTCTTCCCAGTCGTATCGGCGATCCAGTCGCAGTGCTGTGAGATATCGGCGCCAACCACTGAAAATTTAATAATAGTAAACCGCTCAACGCTCCCACGTTTTAACCATACCCCCAAATCAATTTTGAGACCCACTTGTCGTGTTTCTGCTGCCGCAAGGACCTCCGTAACGCCCACGTAGGGGGCTTAGCTGGACGTATTTCCGGAGCCCCGTGTCGTAGTAGGCTATCGGACTCCCGGAATCCCCCTATAAGCGGAAAGAGGCAAAATTGCTCTTCGTTTAGCCAAGGTCCCTTACGCTACACGTTGACGATGTCTTGTTGACAGCGACATAACAGTTCCCATGCCGGTAGCGGCAACCTTTTCCCGCCAGCAATCGCATTGTAAATCCCATTAGCTGCTCCGGTCTTCCCGCAGCTAAAAAAAAAATCTATTAGGTTTAGCTTCGCTCATTAATGACGAAATATAAACGTTTAATTATACGTTTGAATGCTGTAATCAAAGCAACGCTTGCCTGTGGCTCCCCATCCTAACATATAAATATCTGTGTCGTTGGAGACATTCGGCTCCTTCCTTAGGGCCACGGGTTGCACTCTTTTGCCATATATGATAGGCGTGGCCAACTGATCAAAACGGCGTTATCATGAACAAGGGAGAACCTTGATCAGCAATATATCGTAGTTGTTCGCCGGGTGCACATGCATCTTCTCGATTTTGAGCACTTGCTAAAAATAGGTTAAGGTGATACATTGGTAATTGATCACTCCAACACATGTAAATGAAACGTTATCCCCGATCTATAAAGTTCTAATGTTCATGCTCATGCCCGCCCGCGTAGCAGGGATCAGCGCTGGTTTTGGAAATAGAATGGTAACAAATGATGTAAAGAATTCATTACCGTTCCTGCGTCTACATGACCTCGAACGTGATCCGTGCCGGCCACCGCACCTTTTCCCGCCCTAAATTCAGAATTGCCGAAAATTTTTCATACGTACTGTTTTTCCGCGGTCCGGAAGCAATGGGCAGCGGTCAGCAACCAGCTATTGTCGATGATCGATGCGCCGCACAAATGGGTGTCGACTTGCCCCGTCTCGTTGTTCCTGGATGAAGAATTGCATTTAGAGAGAAAGCAGCTTACAGGCTTCCGACTGAGACGATATACGGGTAGTCGTCGACGGACTTCTTTTCCCCTTCAGAGATCCGAATCTGCAATTTTCTATTCTAAGCTGATGCTCCGCTTTACCAAAAAAATCATGAGTTCGGTAGCTCGCACTCAACTTAGCTTCTAGAAATCGAGCATGAAACTCCTGCTAGGTAAGTCATAGCAAATAACATCAACAAGCGTTACAAAAATAACAACAAACCACAACTGGTGGTCCGCTGCTCAAGTCCGGAAATTGAATCGAACTGATTAGGCCAATGTTAATCTAAGAAATATTGTGGAAAGAGACATTTTTTACCAGCAAACCAAAAGCCAGCCAAATCGCCGAAGACCTCATCTGAAAAGATGCCTTTTTGAGTCGGTGCGCGTCATTTATACCGTTGCAGACTGTCATCCTTATAGCCCAAAGTTGTTTTGAATGGGAGCCATAGAAATTGGGCCCGCTGATTCATTTCTAAACCCAAATTTTTAAACATCGGTGGGGAAACTCATCCGCGTTTTTTCAAAAAATGCCCGGATCCTTTGAAAAGTGGGTCGTCTAGCGAAAAGTATATGTCGCGTGCTCAGTTCTTTCGCATTAACGGGGGGGACGATAATTTCTCCGAGTTCCATCCGGGGCGGGGGGCCGGGTTCTCCCCCACCCCCGCGGGAGGGAAGGCAACAAGTCCCGCGGTTCCCAGGTAGGACTATATTTCAAGGTTCGCAAAATTCGAGATCATGAACATTCGAGATTCTAATTTTGATGATTTTTGAGCGTTTGGCAGATTTTTGAAACAAGATCCCATATTTATTGTTCATTTGCTCAAACACAACTTTTTGCCGGTGACATTGTCGATCCAGTCGCAGTACATGGCAATCTCAGGGCCGAACGCTGGAATTGAAAGATATAACAGATCATCCGGGAAAACACTGACTCCAGGTGGTCTCATCTTTTCCGCAGTTGCCGGTCCCGTCTTTAGGTCCATTCCCAGTGCTGACCAGGCTGACTTGCACGTAGTACGACTGCTTGTTGATGGCCGGTGCATAGGTGGAGATCGGACTGCCGGAGTCGCCCTGGAATATGACGTTGCTGGTCGAGCTATTGCTGAGGTTGCAGAAATTGTTTTAAATGTTCAGAGGCAGGGTTTTTCGATAGAGTTGCCATCATAAGGCCCAAATTTTATAGCGTCGAGATTCACAATGTCGAAATTTCGTGATATCGAGCATTTTTGGGAAGGATTTGAGGTTTTTCAGGGAAACTGGCCCATTTAAATGTCTACATCACAAAATTTCGAGATTAGGAAATTTCAGCGTTCTGGAATTTGAAAATTACAGTGTTTTGTACTTTTTACATTTTTTACATATATTTTTACATAGAAAATTTACAAATTTTTTGAAATTTATCGATTTTTTGAACAAAATCTGGAAATACAAAAAATTCTTAAAGGGGCGCGGAAGTGCCAAATATTAGTAGTAGGTAGGCTTTCGTAACTTTGTGAATTTTATCGAGGCGCAACCGTGATCTTTATGATCCTAATAATACACGCCTGTGGCGAAACTTACATTGCAAACACCCGAATGTTTCTTCCCGCCGTCAAAGCACGCCGCATGGGTCATCGTATTCAATTTTCTGCATTCCTCTTCCGGTACCATCTGTCCAATGAAACCCCTCAACTGCATTGGCTGCACCCTTTGTTCTTTGGCTGAAGGATTCTCGCCACGAGAATTTGCGTACGTAGAAGTACACTTACGCACCACATAAATATTCCCCCATCCAATCATATTCACATCGATCCCGGCGGGCATCCTGGCGCGCCACAGCATAATCGGGTGCACGTGCGCGTCGTATTTAAATTGATCTTTGAGCTAAGTCGCTCTTTTGGGATAACCTTTAAAAATACTGATAATACCTTCAACAACCCTACATCGTGATCAAGGGTTTTCCCAGTAAATTCGGGGTGGACATAACCACGCTCAATGGCGATTCGTTGCTGAACTTAGAAAGTCAATCACAAAACGCCGAAATCCCGACAACAAAACTCTCGAAAACTATTCCGAAAAACTCGAAAGTCAAACTCCCGACCGCTCATCATAATAGAATCTCGCCATGTCAAG